CCTCCTGAGTTAACCCTTCCCAGACCAACCACACTGCAAGCTGGACCCTTTCCCTGAGCGTGCTGTCTTAGCTTACACGTGGCTGGGCCCATCTGATCTGTACCTGTGTGTTTTGTGCACAGGCCCTGGGAGCATCTGTGATTTGTCTGTGTAAACTACCATATGTCCTGTCTGCACTGGTGTTTGTGGTAAAGCTGTGTAGGCACTGCAGGGTATGCCCATATACCTGTGCTGGCATATACCCATGGGTACTGTCTGCATGTGCCTTTGAGCATGCATGCTTGTTGGTGGTGGGCACTTGCACACAGGTGTGCCTCCCCTGTGCCAGCTGTGTCCATACACGTGGGGCTGCACAATCTGTCCTGCATGTCTCCCTGTTCTGGGGCATCTGTGCCTGCACCTTAGCCCCCTCCATTACCAGCTTCTTGTGAGCTCAGGGCAACTGAGGCTGAGGCGCAGGCCTGGACTCTGCTCACCTGCAGCTCTGGGATGTACCTGTGGACTCTGGACATGGTTTTCCTTGTAGCTCTCCTTCCTACTTCTGGGCCTACCTCTGGGCCTCCTCTTTCTGGGGCTTTACCACATCTGGAGTTCAGTGGATTGATGGAAGGGTGGATGAGAAGGGGACTCATAGGAACACAGAGGGGCCAGGCAGGCACTCCTGGAGAGTGGGGGTAGTCCCACTCCCCCAGGACTTCTTTGGTCACTGTCTTGCCGCCAGCCACCCCTGGGTTATTTATGACCCCTCCTCCCCCTCCTGGCAGGCTCTGGCCTCAGCCCAGTGGCGCAGGGCCCTGAGTGGGGGGCCCAGGAGCAGCGACAACTGCCCGAGGCCAGTGAGACTAGGTGGGTGTGGCCTCCCAGCCAAAAGAGGGGTGGTGGTGTCCACACCAGCTGTGTGTCCGCTGGGCAGGAAGGCCAAGCTAGAGATGATTCTACTGCTAAAACTCCATCCCTCCATCTTCTGCTTCCAGTCTGAGGAACACAGAATAAAGTGAGGAACAGGTGCCCCAGACCAGGACACAGGTGTGCCTGAATAGACCAGTATCGGGAAGGGGAAGTCCCCAGAGAGAATGATGTTGAGTGTGAGGAGGTCTATCTTGTGGAAGAGACCAGGGTGAGCAATGAGTGGTCTTGCAGAAGAGAAGGGAGCTTCCCACCACAGGCCCAGGTAAGAAGAGAGACCTGGTGCGAGGGTCTTAGCTGTGCTATTGTGAGGGCCCGGGCCTCCCTATTGGAAGCAAGGTAGCAATAGTGGGGTGAGATGCCTCGGCAGTAGGGTCAGAGCTGCAGCAGACAGTGGACACACAGATACTGGGCCACATAGTTTCAGGCAGCCCTGAGAACCTCTCTGTGGATAGGGCAGCCTCCTACATCCATTAGACACAGAAGCATCATACCTGAGAGAAAGATAAAGGCTGTGGGGGGTAGGGGATGGGGTTCACTGGCTGCCACACCTGGGGTCAGGGGCATGCAGGTGTCCCAGCTATAGACAGGGTAATAGGCTGGGGATGGCTAAGTAAGGTGGTATCACCATGTTCACCCCACATTTCAACCTGGCTTCTCAGACCCCCACAATTGGATGTAAGAGAAGATGCCCCTAGTGAAGGGGACCAGTGCACAGCTGCCAGACACATTCCCAGATGTGAGCAGAACACAACTGGCCCAGACCTCACTCCCCAGATTGGCCTTGGGGCCATCTGGATAAGATGAGGTGGGCTAGATGAGTTGTGAGTGGTCACCAGTGGTCAGCTGCGTGCCCAGCAGGCTGGTATAGGGAACAGGTGCTGGGGATGGGCTGTTCCCTCCTTCAGCGGTGACTGTGCAAATAGACCTGAGATCTGGCTCAGCTCCAATACCTGGTCAGGGGATGCCCTGACAGTGCGTCTCAGGAGGCAGGGCAGGGAATGAGGCCACTCTCCAGAGGATGTAAAGTGGTACACAAGAGCCAGATAAGCCAGAGGATGCTCAATGTCTCTTCCTAACGGTAAGGCAGGGAGGTGTGCAAGGCTCAGGCAGCTGACCAGGAATCATGCTCATTCCTGGCCTGGACCCAGGCCAGCCCAAGGCATCAGGTAGATGTGGGTATGGCAGGTCCTTCTTCCCCAGACTTGCTCTTAGTTGGGAAAACAAGTGTGCTGTTGTGCACACTGCAGTCCACCACCCTCCGCAGGGAGGTGTGCAAGGCTCAGGCAGCTGACCAGGGAATCATGCTCATTCCTGGCCTGGACCCAGGCCAGCCCAAGGCATCAGGTAGATGTGGGTATGGCAGGTCCTTCTTCCCCAGACTTGCTCTCAGTAGGGAAAACAAGTGTGCTGTTGTGCACACTGCAGTCCACCACCCTCCGCCTCACACCCCAACCCTACCTTCTTGCCCCAGACCTGGACTGGAAACAGTATATAGCAACAGAAAAGCTATTTGACCTCTTTGCTTTAGCTTTTCTATCTGTGGAATGGGGATGACAAGGAAACTCACAGGGGGATGGGTCACATAAACTAACTCCCAGTAAAGTTCATAGTAAGGGAGTGACATTGTACAGGCAACATACCACCACCTCCCCTCTTGCAGGCGCAGAGATCTGACACCCCTCTGACACTGATGCCCACACTTGCTAGCAAACACCTAGAGCTGCCGCCATTGCACACTCACACCCACAGAGCGAGCGGCCACACCAACCACCGACCCGCCGTTCCAACATGGGGATTCCAGCTTTGCTCCAAACGGGTTCCATCAGGCTCGCTTCCGCCCCCCAGGGTCTGCCTTCTCCCTATTCTCGCCCACTCTGGGTAGGGCCGGTGTGCAACCCTGCCTCGCGGTCCCCGCCGCCGCCCGTGCGCGCCCAGTCGGCCGTCACGCAACCCTAGTGGAGCCCGCGCCCGCCCGCCGCGCCAGGGCCGCTTAAATGGGCCAAGTTGTGGCGGCGACGGCTGCAGCGGTGGAGTCTCCCAAGTCCCCGCCGGGCGGGCGCGCGCCAGTGCACGCGACCTGGACGGCGGGGCGGGGTGGGGTGGGGACTTCGGACCCCCAGGCGGGGTAGGGAGCGGGACCAGCAGCTCCGACTCCTCACAGAGAGCTGGCCCAGGAACTGCCCCCTGGGCGCGGGCGCAGATGGCCAGAGCGCAGGACTCCCGACGCCCCGCGGAGCCCCAGGGCCCTGGAGCTGCTGCGCTCGGCGGTCGAGTCAATCCCGGATCGATAGAAGCTCTGGCAGTACCATGTCTCAGGCCACTGAGGCCCCGCCAGTCGGCCAGGCAGTAGTCCAAGTCTGCCTGGTGGGCAGCGCGGCAGCGGTGGCAACCGGCGCCAGAACGCAGTAGCGGGAAAGGTGGGCGCAGGGCCAGGCATCTCCAAGCCCCCCCGCCCCCGCCTCCCAACTCCAGCCCGGGTCAGAGTAAGTTGTCGATGCGGGCGGAGAGCGGGATTGAGGGGCCACGGGTGCACCATGCCGGTTGTCAAGAAGGAGCTCCCACGCCGCGAGGACCTGGCCCTGGCTCTGGCCACCTTCCACCCTACCCTGGCCGCACTGCCGCTGCCGCCGCTGCCCGGCTATCTGGCGCCACTGCCCGCCGCTGCAGCCCTGCCCCCGGCCGCCTCGCTGCCCGCCTCGGCCGCGGGCTACGAGCCGCTGTTGGCTCCGCCGCTGAGCCCCTCGCGCGCCTACCTTAGCCTGCACGAGGCCGCTCTGCACCTCCACCTGCCCCGAGACCCGCTGGTCCTCGAGCGCTTCCCGGCGCCCGCGGCCGCGGCACCGGATTTCCAGCCTCTGCTGGACAACGGCGAGCCGTGCATCGAGGTGGAGTGCGGCGCCAATCGCGCACTGCTCTACGTGCGCAAACTCTGCCAGGGCAGCAAGGGCCCGTCCATCCGCCACCGCGGCGAATGGCTCACGCCCAACGAGTTCCAGTTCGTCAGCGGCCGCGAGACGGCCAAGGACTGGAAGCGCAGCATACGCCACAAAGGTGCGGCCGTGGTGAGGGCGCAGGCCGCCACTGTCTCCCTTCTTCGCAACCCGGGAACCCGAGGGTCGGACCCCTCACTTTGCCACCTGGGAGACCCCGTCTCGGGCCAGAGGGGGCGCTGCAACTCCAGGGCTGCCGCAGGGAAACCGCCTCCCTCCTTCCCCCGCCCTGCACGGGCGTCTTAGTGGACAGGGCAGAGCGACTTCCGTCGCCACCAACAGCTCGTGCCACGGCCCTCCGGGGCTCCCCGCTACACACGAGCAGGCCGCTCCCTCTGCTCGGAAGGTCTTTGCGACTCTTGGGCCTTAAGGCCCAGGAGAAGTTTACGGGAACTCAGGAGAGCAGGCGGGAGACTGGTCAAAACGGTCACCCCTCCCCCAGCGCGGAGCTACCGGTTCCGGCGGGAGTATAGGGATGCACGTGCTGCCGGGTGCGCGAGCGCGCCGGCGGAGGCTGCGCGGGCAGGTGGGGGTGGTGGGGGTGCCTGTCAGGGCGCGCGCGTGCGGAGCCAGAGAGGCGGAGGCGAGAGACCATCACTGCCTGTTGGGTCGCCTGCAGGAGCCGTGGCTCCAAGGGTTGGACATGGGTGCCTGATCCAGGTCCCCAGGAGGTGAAGTGAACGCCAGGCGCCGTTTGTGAGTTAGACAGTTAGGGACCCGTAGTGTACGGCTTGAGAGGTTGTGGCTCCGCAGTGACCGCTCCTTCCTGCTGCAGGGAAAAACCAGAACGGGGCCAACGGCGCCGCTCACCTGCTCGGGATTCCGAGGGTCTAGGCCCGAGAGGGTACAGAGGGAGCAGGGGCGGGCGGGGAGGAGACCGCCCCTCATTTGAATTGCAGAGCCCTGCTGAGGGTGGGGCGGCGGGCTGGGAACTTGGGCCGAGGTGGGTGTGGGGGTCGGCGTGTATTTCGCACACGCGCCTTACACGTTGCAAGGGGGACTAGCCTTGCAACGGACTGCACCCGGAAGCTGCCCGCGTGCTCCAGATCCCTCACCGGGCCTGCCTTTACTTTCCTCGCAGGGAAAAGTCTGAAGACGCTTATGTCTAAGGGGATTCTGCAGGTGCACCCTCCGATCTGCGACTGTCCCGGCTGTCGAATATCTTCCCCAGTGGTGAGATGTTGGGGATGAGTTGGGCTTGGGGGTCATCATCCCCTTCGTTCGTTGCCCCTGGCTTTTAGGGTGGGAGTGCTGGAAGGAGCCTCACGGGGCAGGTGGGGTGAGGGGCTTGGCTTTGTGCTCTCTCTGTCCTTGTACCTGGATGGAGGCAGAACTCCTAGGGCCCAGACCCCCTCCCTGTTTAGATGCAGGACGGGTCCTGCCCATCCCCCTTTATGATCCTTGGAGCTGCTTCTCCTCACATTCTGGGTAGTGAAACTACCTGGATATTGTCATTCACTTTGAGCCTGGGGGTTCCCCTGTCACAGTCTGGGGGCCCCACTGAACGTGACAGTTTTGGCTGGCTTGCTTTCTGGTGTGGTTACAGGTTTGGGTATGAGTGACCTGTCTGGGGTGCTGAGGGCCAGAGCCCTACATAGCAAGGACCTGGATGTTCTGGGGCTCAGAACTCTGTCATGGGCACGGTCTTTGTAGTGTGGGCCTTTGTTGTCCAGAGACATAGAGTTTGAGGCTGGTTCGAGGTCCCAACCAAGGATGGACAGCCACTGACATCATCATTGGTCTGGGGAACAAGAGGGACTGGGGATGCACACTCCTGCTCCCAAGGCATCCAGAGTTGGGGGATTGACATAAAAGTGCAGTTGACTATTGAGAGGAAATTATTTGGAGCCCCTGGGGGGCATGCTTCCTGGCATGCTCAGCAACCCCTTCCCACAAGAAGGAATAGGAGAGGCAGATGTTCAAAGTGGGCATGAGAGGACCCAGATTTGTCCTATGCTGGCTTACTCTGGTCCCATGCTCAGGTGGAAGAGAGGAAGTTCTGGGAGCCTCCTGGGCCCTGGGTGGGAAGGGGCCAGCTGGAAGGCCCATAGACACCTGTGAGGACAGTCAAACACTCAAATGCACAGCATGTTGGACAGAGAATGAGGGTGCAGCTCATTCTACACTTCTCCCAGGTACCCACCCCACACACGATCTGTATGCCACATACAGAGCTCCCCAGACAAGTGTACACAGATAGCCTGCCTCCTGCTTAGTGTAGCATACCTGCCCAAGGCAAGAGTCCCTACCTCATTCCCTCAAGAAGCTGGTACTGAAGAGGGGTCCCTAGGCCTGTCCCTGCATCTTTGCCTTAGGAATGAGCTCTGTAGGCCCCTTTTTTCCAGCCCCCACATTTATCATCGCTGAGCCCCCCCGGCCAGGTCCACAGGTGTGTGTATACTTTGTGGTCAGATTCCAAGGACAGAATTTAGCATGTGCCTCTAGGACCAACCAGGATGAGTGCCCCCTTGCCATCTGAAAAGGAGCCAGCTCTTGGTTAAGGGCCAAGTTTTCAAACCCATGTGCTGTGGAACAGGGGTGAGCTGGCTGAGGTCTCCATGGCAAGGGGGAGTGTGTGTTCCTTGTCCCTCCCAGCCACTCCAGACCTGTCTTCCTGGGTGCCCTCAAGGCACAGCTGGGGTGCTGGCATATCCCCACACCCCTGGCTCTTTGTGTCATGGGGCTGAGGCATGCACAGCCTGGTCTCTGTTCCCAGCCAGCTGCCTTTGGCCTCCTTCCAAGGGGAGATCTTCCCCTCTTCCCTGTCCCACAGACTAGAATGCATCTCCTTTTTCTTTGAAGAGAATATTTTGCTTAAAGCAGGAATGTGGGAGAAAAGAGGTTGTCAATCTGAGGTTCCAGGCTGGGGCTATTGAGAGGACCTCCTGGAACCCCTGTCTGATCCAGGGAGGTGTGGACACAGACGGTGGTATCATGCCTGCAGTTGGCCAGGCTCTGTGGCCGCTGGTATGCCCAGGGCCAAGGCCAGGGTAGAGGCCCTCTGGTCTGGCAGGCCTGCCTCAGACCCCTCTGCCTCGCCCACTGGCCTCAGTAAGGCTACAACCATCTTGCTGGGTATGTGGGCTCCTGAGGGCAGGTGTCAGAGGACTGTGGCTCAGGACCCTGAGGGGAACACTTCAGCCCAGGTGGGAGACACTCCAGCTCCCAGATCCTTTCCAAATTAAGCTAGAAGTGAGGCTGTACATCTAGGTGGGGGGGTCCTGATCCAAGGAGAAGCACTTCTGCTCCAACAGTTAGGGCAGTGGCCAGCTCTGGTCAACCTGTACATCACTGGTTCCATCTAGGGTTGTAGGGTTCCCTCCTTGACACCTTCCTGCTCAAACTTGAGGAGTGTGTTCTGAACCCGGTGCTGTGGCTCGTACCTGTAATCCTAGCACTCTGGGAGGCCGAGGTGAGTAGATTGCCTGACCTCAGGAGTTCGAGACGAGCCTGAGCAAGAGCAAAACTTCATCTCTAAAACAATAACTGAGCATTGTGGCAGTGCCTGTAGTCCCAGCTACTTAGGAGGCTGAGGCGAGAGAATTGCTTGAGCCCAAGAGTTTGAGGTTGTTGTAAGCTATGATGCCATGGCACTCTACCAAGGGTGACAAAGTAAGACTGTCTCAAAAAAAAAAAAAAAAAGAAAGAAAGAAAGAAAGAAAAGAAAAGAAAGGTGTGTTCTGGCAACTGGTGGGAGACCCCTGTGGCTGAACAGAGGAGAGGGGGGGATTGGGCACTCTCAAGGCCTCTGCCACCTCCCCCCGCCAGCAGCCTGTTATTAAATAAGAAAAAGCCTCCTGCCCACTGAAAATAATTTTTCTTCTTTACCCTGGGGATGGCAGGCTGCATACTCTCCCACTGTTCTGTGGGCAGCACCAAGCATGTTGCTGGCCCGTGTGTGTGTCTGTGTGTGCAAGATCTGTATATACCCTGCCCCATGGGCACCTACACCTCCACACATGTACTCCCTGGGTATAGGGTTTGGGAGAGAAGAAATGGGCCTTGTGGAAAACTGCTCAGCAGCGCCCAGGGGAACAAAGGGCTGGGCCAGTTAAGGCTTCTTGTCTGGTGACCTGTGAACACTAGGGCCTGCAGTTTGCAAGCAGTCAACAAGCTCAGACTGTTTCTCCAAGTCCCAGGTTAGCCCCTGAGCTGGGCTTTGCTAACAAAATAGAAGAGACTTTGCTTGTGGACCTTGGTGTCTCTTTTGGGAGTTTACATGGAATATGGGTGGCTTGCCCAGCAGGTGCATGCCAAAGTGACTGCATTCTGCATGTGTGGCCACCAGGACCGGCTCCAAGCTGCACACACATTCCCCAGAGACCCCAGGCACCTAGGAAGGGAGACCCTGGGATGGAGCTGGGCCATGCCCTCCACAGAGCACCTTGGGGTGGGATGGCCAAGCCCAGCAGTGTCCATGGAGCCCCTACCTGAGACCCTACCTCCCAGTCTTTGGCCAGCTGTAGCCCTGGCCTTGTCACTCCTGGGCTATGCCTTGGGGTCGGGCCTGGGGTTTGAGGCCAGGGGTGAGCATCTGTGGACTGAGGCCCTAGTCCAGCCTCACCTCCCTCTTACCCCACCCTAGAACCGGGGACGGCTGGCAGACAAGAGGACGGTTGCCCCGCCCCCTGCCCGGGTCCTGAAGAAGGAGCAGACCCCCAGCTTCTCCACTAGTGATGGTGACAGTGATGGGAGTGGGCCAGCCTGCGGGTGGAGGCCAGACCTAAAGCAGGAGAATGACCCGCATGTCCGTATCATGAAGAGAAGGTACTCAGCCAAAGCTAGGCAGGAGGGTGCACAAGCTCCCACTGGGAGGGAGTGTTGAGGTGGGCTGCTTAGGGGACACTGGCTTCCCATGCTGCCCCCTGGACCAGGCCTGCACAGGGCATTTCCTTTCTGGCCCTCAGTGCTGGTGCCCTCTCCACTGCCATGTGGTCCCTACTTGCAGGAGGCTGGTTAAGGGGCCTGGCCTAGCCCACTGGAGCAGCTCTGGCAGCTAGGAGTCCAATTTCAGTCAAGGGGAATATACAAAGGCCCCCTGCCCCCAGCATGATTCAGGGTCTCCCAGGGTGCACTGCAATGGCAGTAGGTAGAAGGGTGCTTAGCTCCATCCTCTGCCCATGTGGCTGGTGAGGCCAGGAGCCAGCTCTGGTGTGAGCCCATCTTGGTGGGAGCCCTGCGCAGGTTGAGCCTGAACAGACAGTGCTAGACACAATAGCTGCCTTCCACTGCTCAGGGTGCTGGAGACAGGTCCATACACATATTACCCTGTTTCCAGGGATGCGGGAGCCCACAGTGACTCCTCCTCTCTCCCTGCAGGGTCCACACCCACTGGGATGTGAACATCTCCTTCCGAGAGACATCCTGCAGGTAGGGGTCCCAGCCCAGCCAGGCTCCCCCAACACTGGGCACAGGTAGTATGGCTCACCCTCTCCAGGGTCTGCACCTGGGTCTCTCCAGCCTGCCTGAAGTCAGCCTGTCTATTGGTTACTGTCTCAGCCATAATGAGCTGATGCTGGCTGAGCACCTTCCACGTGTGACATGTGCTGTGCAGATCTTACCTATCCAGGGAGGTAGAAGGTTGTGCCTGGCCCTTGGCAGCAGCACATCCCTGAAACCAGAGCATGCCCATCTCCCACATGGAACTGGCCATTTGAGCCCATCTGCCCAAAGATGAGGCTGTGAACTCTCTCTCCCACCTCCCTGAGATCCACCAGGAAGTGAGTGAGATTGGTGATGTGTGAGTGAGTGGGTTCTTGAAGAATGTGTGAAAGTTCACTAAGGAAAGGAGATGTCTGCAAAAGTATGGAGGGAGGATGGAAGGGGTATGGGAGTGGGGCAGAGGCTCAATTGGATGCTAGAGGGCCTTGGCTACTGGGCCTGTCAGGTATTGTCCTTCAGGCAAGTGGGAGCCCTCAAACATTCTTAAGCAGGGGAGTGACCAGGAATGTGTTTTGAAAAGGACCTTCTGGAGGCTGGCAAGTTGGGGGTTGGATTCAGGATGTAGAAGCAGGATGGTGGGTGAAAAGTCAAGATGTAACAAGGAGAGAAAAATGAAGCAACCCAAGAAAGAGGTATTGTGTGTTGGGGGACCCAAGTTCCTGGCTCCAGAGGTACCATGAGTGGTCAGCCTATGAGCAGAGCCCAGCTATAGCTTTGGGTTGGCACGCACACCTGACAGCCATACCCAGGGCCGGGGTAGGGGACATGGGCCTGAGCCCAGCCTCATGGCAGGTGGGAGCTTGTCCTGGTTTTGTGCCAGATGTGTTATTATTTATGTCTCTGAGAACGTCTGGATCCTGGAACTGAATTACAATAAAAACATCTTTAACTTATTTCCACCTCATTTTGGAGTTGCCAGCTCAACTGATCATTTTTATGAACCGTCATGAACATTGATGACATTTTATGAGCCTTTTACTTGGGACATTACAGGATAAATTTGTCAGTGAGGCCCTCATAGAAGCCCAGTGGCAGCTCCTTCTTCTGCCTGCAGCACCCCCACCCCTTCCACATGGCCTCAGGCATGTCAGGGACCCTAGCATCCAGGTGCAGGTTCCTGGGTAGCCCAGGGTGTCACTAGGGAGAGGCCAGGTGTACATCGCTCCTGCATCAGCCATAGAAGGGTGAAAAAAGTTTTCTGGATTTTACCAAAGGGACTGTCATGCCAGGGTGCGCCCACACTGCCCCCCAGGTTCTGTCTTTGCCTTGGCCTGCCCTTCTGGCCTCCCTTGGTCCTTCTGGCTTCCTGTCTGTCTGTCCATCTCCACCTGTGTGTCCATTGTTTCAACCCATCATTTCCCTTCACCCATCCCTCTGTCACTCTGGCTCTGCAGTGGTACCAGCAGGGCCTCTTCTGGGCCCCGGGCTGCAAGGAAACAAGCAGGGGCAGGACTTCGAGGGTGGGGTCTGGCCTGGCTGCTGCTCCCCACCCAGCCCCACCATGTGGCACAGAGACCCCAACATCTGGGTAGGTGAGGAGGGCATATCACAGCTGAGCCCCTCCTGCTGTGAGGCCAGGCATAGCTTCTGTGTCTTCAGTCCCTAAGTCCCAGCTTCTCTTCAGCCCTTACTTCACACACTTAGTGCACTCCCATGGCCTAGTGACCACAGCAGGTATCCAAGGGCTGCCTTAGGGCCTGAAGAGCAATCCCCTGAGGCAGAGTGTAGAGGTCAGGAGGCGTCCAGGTTCCCATTGGTGTCACCTGCTACAGCACCACTACTCCCAAGTACCCAAATGACTAGCCAGGGAGTGGCAGCTCAAGTGGCCTCACCTCCTTTCTGAGTGCCATGCTGGGGTCCAGAGACTGCCAGCCCTTTTACACCTACTTTCCTGGGATTCTGGTTCTCCTCCTGTAGATGGGTATCCTGGGACACCCAGCAGCTGTTGCTGTGAAGTGGCTGACCCCCCACACACACTTTCCATGCTGAGGACAGCAGTTCTTTCTCAACACCCCAGTGTCAATGAGGACCACAGAGGGGATGAGACTGCCAATTAATCCCATAAAGCGCTTACTCTCCCACCCCCATCCTCCCGTGCACATGGGGGCTCTCCTAAGGGTTCAGGGCCCATCTGGGTCTCCCTGAGTCTTTGGCGCTGAAACTGATCTGCTTAGGGGCCAGCCCTGGATTAGCCCAGCTTCAGCCAGCCCAGATCAGGGGGGCTGGAGGCTATTTAATGAGGTTTAGGGTCAGTTCCCAGGTCACTGCCTAGAGGCCCTAGCGTTAGCACGGCTCAGTTACAGGTGGGCAGAAGGTGCCTGCTGGGAGGGATGGCCTATCCCTTCCTCCTCTGCCCTTTCCTCATCTCTGCAGACCCAGAAGCCTGAGAACCCTGGCAGGGTGACTTGCTCCCTCTGCTCTAGGGCTCTGTGCATGTGGGATTCCGCTGACTTAGCAGAAAGAAGAGAAAAGAGGGGACAAAAGAGTTAAGTGCGTGTTTATTCCAAGCCCACACCTGCCTGGGGGACAGTTGTGTGTTGTGTGTGTCTGCTGGTGCAGTGTGCTTGTGAGTGTATCTTTTTAGCTGCAGGACTGTGTTCTGAGCCTCAGTTTTCTCAATTTGAAGAAATTGGAGGTCAGGGAGTACTGGCAAGTCTTAATCCAAATAATGAGCCCCCTTCGTGCTGAAGGGGCTGGCAGCAGGCGTGTCTTCTCTGAGCCTGCCCTGTGCAGGGTCCTTCTGCCTGGTGGGCATGAAAGGCTGGGGCTGGGTAGGGTCCAAGCAGTAGGTTCCTCATCACTTCGGCTGGCCCCTGGGGTACACACAGCAGTGTCACAGGCCACATGCTGAGGCACACACAGTACTGCCACACTCAGAGGCCAGCACTTACTAGGCTCAGGCTGGGCACACACCTGCTAGGAGGGATGGCCTATCCCTTCCTCCTCTGCCCTCTCCTCATCTCTGCAGACCCAGGGAGAAGCCTGAGAACCCTGGCAGGGTGACTTGCTCCCTCTGCTCTAGGGCTCTGTGCATGTGGGATTCAGCTATGAACAGCTGCCCTTGCCTGTCTTGCTCTGCTACAGCCAGGACAGCAATATCCCCACCCTCATATCCAGCGTCCATCGCAGCCGCCACCTCGTGATGCCAGAGCATCAGAGCCGCTGTGAGTTCCAGAGAGGCAGCGTGGAGATCGGCCTAGGACCTGCAGGTGAGGAGTCCAGGGGTCCTGAGGGTAAGGATGGGGCAGCTGGGCCAGAAGACAGCTTGTGCCTTTGCTCAGCAGCTCTGGAGGCCGCCAACCCCTCAGCTTGGCAAGCAGCCAGGGAGGCGGGAGATGCAGGCGGCTGTCCCCCAGGGCTCCATGTGATGGTAATTGTGTTAATCCCAGCCAGCCCAGCAGACAGGAGGCAGAGGCGGTGGCTCCACTGTGGCTGATGCTGGGGTGGGCTTGGAGTGGCTGAGGCAGACTAAGGCAGGGCCTCAGATGCTCAGAAATGCACACCCTCAAATGGCTTACCCTACACAGGACCCCACAGAGCTGCCTTGGTCCAGCTTCCCAGGGTTGTCACCTCCAAGGCACAGGCAGGAGCTCAGAGGGAAGGAGGCAGCTGCAGACCCAGGCCTGGCCAGGATGTTTCCATCAGGGTGGGGGCCTGACCTCCTGGGGCTCCCAAGCACCATCTGGGCCCCTGTAGGCCTGTGCCTGGGGAGGCCTTTGTGGGGCCGGTGCGGGACTGCTCCTGGCTGTGTCAGAGGCAGGCTGCTGATAAAATCTAATTGCCCCATCGATCAGGCAGAGCCCAGGGAGCCCCACAATGATTGAAATATTCTGAACTGGCAGTCCCCTCCCGCCCCCCCCCCACACACAGAGACCTCCGCAGGACCTGCTCCCAGCCAGAGGCCACAGCTCAGGAGCCCCACATCTGGGGACTGCCTGGCTGTACTCTGTCATCTCAGTGCACAGACCACACTTCTAGTACTTCCAGGCCACCAACTGTGTTCTGTGTTTAGGTTTCACACCCTTGGCCTTCCCTGAGGGCCTCTTTGGGGGGCATTTATGTATCCTACTCACCTCTCCTTGCTTCCTCAGAAACCTCTTGCAATTCTTTTCCTGAGGCCCCAGCCCCTCCCCAAACACAATGCCCCCCACACACACACACAAACTGGGCCTGACCAGTTTCTGTGAGGTCTGCCCCAGCGTGTCCCTGAGAGGCTCATGTTCTTCCTGCACCCACAGGGCTGGGTCTCCCTCCACCCCCAGGATCTCCTCCCCAAGCTGTGAGGAGCCCACAACCTCCAACAGAAGAGGGGGAGCTTCCCCTGCCAAAAATGCCATCCCTTGGTAAACCCTAAAGGGACATTTGTAGAGACCCTGCCCAGGCTCTGGGATGGAGGTTGTAGGGCTATGGCACCTTTGGGGAGTCAGCAGTGTGTGCCCCTGGCCCAAGTGCAACCCACTGAAGCTGGGACCCCTGAAAAAGGCCAAAGGATCATTCATCTCTTTGGGGCAGGGCCTGGCAACTGGGCCAGTGGCCACAGGGTGGCTGAGATCAATAAGTTATTAGCACCATTCTGTCAGCTGTAATGTGGAGATTGATCGGCACTCTCGCGCTGCCTTACTTCCCCAGCCTGATAAAAATGACAGATTAAGGGAATAAGAAAAAGGAATTAGGCTCTGGAGCTGATGGGAGGGCTGGGAGGGGCAGGTCACCAGAAGCCTGGGAGGATGGCCAGGGGCCCAAGATAGAGAGAGGGTTCAGGGTTCAGCGGAGACCCCCAGGGTGTGGGTTCCAAAAGCCCTGGGGAGGCCAAGCATCAAGGAGCCAGGGGCTGTGCTAGAAATGGACATGGGACCAGCCTGGCCTGGGCCTTCACTCTGTGCAGGCATCTGTTTTCCAGGCTGGGGCTGGCCTTATGGCCAGACAGGTGGGACCAATGTGCAACAGCAAGGCTGCTCCGTGTGCCAAAGGGAGCTCAGAGCCTGGCAGGGCAGGTGTGTAGAGGTATGACAACCATAGCAAGGTGTTGCTGGCTCGGGCAGGAGGATTGGGCCAGTGACAGGTGTGATTGGGTGGAGGACCTAGGTGTAGAGCAGCCTAGAGGTGACTTCCCTGGGCAGGAAGAGATGTTGTCCAGGCTGGCAGGGGACGCCAAGAGGAAAAGGGGCTCCCAGTCAGATCAGAAGCATTTCACTCTTTTCCAACTGGTCAGCTGGCACAAGAGGCTGGGGTAGCTGGTCGGGGCAGCAGGGCCCCTGTGGGAACTCCCCATGAATTTTCATTTCTATGCAATGTACCCCAGAGTCCAGGGCCCCAGTGCCCTCTGGCCAGGAAGGCTCACCTGGGGTGCCTAAGCTGGGCAAAGTCTTAATCCAACAGGACCAAGGGCACCCCTGAGAAATGTGGGTGCAGTTCAGAATGAGCTGGTGCCTCTTCACCAAGCCTTGAGAGGCAACGTGGGGGTCACTCTGCCTTCCCACAGGTGACCTGTTGGGCAAGAGGCTGGGCCGCTCCCCTCACATCAGCAGCGACTGCTCTTCAGAGAAGAGGGCCCGAAGAGAGTCCCCCCAAGGTGGGAGCCAACCCAGGCACAAGGGTCTCGCTGGAGGAGGGAAGGGGTGACAGAGTCTCAAAGGGTCCCTCAGAGCTCAGATGAGAATTCTAAGAGGGGAGACCCGCCCCCACAGTATCTGAAGGAGAATCCCCTTACCATATACCCCTCTCAACACAGAGAGTCTGCTGCTGCCAGAGCTGGGGCCCAGCATGGCTCCAGAGGAACACTACCGCCGGCTTGTGTCAGCACTGAATGAGGCTGGCACCTTTGAGGACACTCAGCGTCTCTACCACCTGGGCCTCCCCAGCCATGGTAAGCACTCACTCCCACACATAACTTCCTCCCCAATAATGTGCCCATCATAGGCTCTCCCCGCCCCCAGAGGCTCCATTCACCCAGGATGCTAAGCTGCTAACACCAAGGCTAGGACTGAGTGCAGGTCATGACTGGGCCCCATAGGTGGTTGTCCCCCCTCTGCCTGAGTTCCTACACCAGGACCCCTGGCTGCATCCCCCATCCCCATGCTCACACATAATTCACATTTTATACATGAGGAAACTCAGTCTTGGGGAGCCCCATGTGGTGAAAGTGAGCAGTCGGGGCTTGGGCAACCCCTACCTCCCCAGGACAGCAAGTTCTCATGGTCCTGTAGTCTATGTGTTGAGTCTGGCTGTACACTTGGTGCACAAGGGTGTGCCTTAGTGGACACTGACCCGCAGACGCTGGCTCAGCATGGTGGGAGGGGAGCAGTCATAAGAGGGCTGGGTTGTGCAGCTAGAAACCTGGTGGCCAGAACTGACCCTGGCCATTCGCCTCCCATGGACATTCTCTGGGTCACTCTCAAGCCACTCCACATGGCTCTTGTTGCAGAGGTGGGTGGGGGGGCTTCCAAAAGGGGTAGGATTCCTTCCTTGCACAAGGAACCGTCCCCCAGGGCAGCTCATGCACAATGAGCCTGAATAATTCACCAAATGTTAATAATTTAAAAATCTCTCATTTTAATTGCTTTCCCTGCCCTGCCTGGGGTCGCTGTGCAATCCGTGGTGGGGCGGGGCGGGGAACTGCTGTCAATCACACCACGCGCCACCGCCCAGAGCCGGGTAAAGCAGCCCTGACCGGGGACAGCACGGTCTGTCAGAATTGATTGGGGGGCGGGGAGGGGGCAGTGTGGCTGGCTCTGACTACTGGCACTCGGCCCAGCGCCCCGCCCCGCTCAAGTAATTAATTTATAAACAGAGGCGGTCGCGGAGCCTCTGTGAATAGGGGCAGTGGGAGAAAAGAGGCCTGGGAGGTCAGTGTGGTAGTAGCCCAAGAGAGGCCAGTGTGTGGCAAGCTCTACCCAGTTGCATAGTGCCAACATCTCAGATTTCCTTGCCTCCCAGGAGGGGTCCCCAGGGCCCCTGCAATTCCCTGGTGCTCTTTCTCTGGAACCTTTGCAGGCACCTTCCCCTCAAGGGTCCAACCTCACCCCAAGCCAGAGACCCCCATGCACCACCCGACCCCCTGCCAAGGAAGGGTACAGTGCTCACCTGCCTCCCCCCCCCCCAAATTGAGAGGATCTCCTGTGTCCTGAGTTGGTTACCTCTCTGACAGGCTGACATACGGCCAAATGGTGTGGGGCCCCCCAGCTCTGGTTCTCCTTGGCTACCCTAGCCACTGTCCTGTGCTCACCAGAACAAGGAATGTCTGGGGGGAGCCTAGCTTCTAGGTCACCTTTGTTGTCCCGCTTCCCCCAGATCTTCTGAGGGTCCGGCAAGAGGTGGCAGCTGCGGCTTTGAGGAGCCCCAGTGGCCTGGAAGTCCACCTGCCTTCATCTCCTGCAGGTCAGCGTCGGAAGCAGGGCCTGGCTCAACACCGAGAGGGCCCTGCCCCAGCTGCCTCCGCGTCCTTCTCAGACAGGTATTGGGGTGGCTGTGTGCGGAGAGGCCCTATGTTCTCCATTCTTGTTCCTGGACTGAGCAGGACATGCCCCAGTCTGCCCCTCGATTTTTTGAGCCACTGAGCCACCCATCTCCTGTCAGAGCCGTGTGTATGAGTGTTTCCAGTGTTGCAAGCACATTGCTCAGCTCTTGGTTTAGGGTGTGCTGTGTAGAAGCCTCCTGGTGCCCACTGAGCTGGGCAGATGAGTGGGGTGACCGCTGCTGGGGCTGGAGTGCTAAGGAGAACTCTACTGGGGACCACTGAGGGGTAGAAGGTGAAGCAGGGGAGCAGTTCAAGGCCTGGAACCCCCTTAGTCTGTTGGGAGGGAGCTCTGCAAGACTGAGGTCGGGGCAAAGGGGAGCCTGGGTGGCGCGACGGGGTCGACCTGCCTAGTCCGAGGGGGAACGCGCTGGGAAGCGGGTGCCTGAAGGGCTGAGACCCCACCCCACCGAGTTACAGATCGTGGCGTCTGCAGCAGCCTCCTCCCTGACTGCAGCTAATGACGCCCCCACCCCCCTGCCCGTCAGTGGCAGGCGGAGGCCGGGAGCAGGCGACGGCGCCCGGCGCAGTAATTACCTCTGCAGCCACCGCCGCCCGCCAGGTCAGCGCCTCTGTGCCGCCGCGGAGATTAATTGGCGCCGGCGGCGGGGGCGGGGGTGGGGGCGGGGGCGGCGACGGCTTGCGACCCAGAACACTAACGAGCAGCGCATCGACCGCTGGGCGGGGCGAAGGGGGCGGCAATTAGCAAAGGAGCCGGGAAGAAGTGGGAGGGGGCTTGGGGGACAGCTACGAGAATGGGGATTCCGGGGAGTGTGGGGAGAGCGCCCCGTTCATCTTCCTGCCGCCCACAGGGAGCTGCCGCAGCCGCCCCCTCTGCTGTCGCCCCAGAATGCCCCTCACATCGCCCTGGGCCCTCATCTCAGGCACCCCTTTTTGGGGGTACCCTCGGCTCTGTGCCAGACACCAGGTGAGGAGTGGATGAGTGTGTCTTGTGTCCTGCGGGGCCTTCGGCGTCCTTGACCCGCTTTTGCCCGGAGCCAAGGGCATACGTGATAGTGCAGGCCAAAACGGTTGATACCTCAGCCACCAGGTCCCATGCTTTGTCCTCCTCACAGGCTACGGTTTTCTGCCCCCCGCCCAAGCGGAGATGTTTGCCCGGCAGCAGGAGCTCCTGCGGAAGCAGAGCCTAGCGCGGTAGGTGAGGCAGGGACGGCGTGGGCTGCATGGACCACGCGAGAGGCCGCTGACCCTGCCTGCCCCATGCAGGTTGGAGCTGTCTGCGGACCTGCTACGCCAGAAGGAGCTGGAATGTGCGCGTCCGCAGCAGGTGGCGCCCGAGGCCGCCCTGCGTTCCCCCGACGGCACCGAGGAGTTGCAGCGGCGCGGGGCCATGCTGGTGCTGAAACACAGCTCCGCACCGCTGTTGGCCCTGCCCCCGGAGTCTGGGCCTCCCACCCCACCCAGAGAGCCTGCCCGCCGAGTCTCCCGAAAAGGGGTCCCTGGCTCTGCCTCCACCCAGCCCAGCGACTCCAAGGAGATGACAGGAACTGTGCTCTGGACACAAGATGGCTCAGAGGATGAGACCCCCAAAGACTCAGACGGAGAAGATTCCGAGATGGCTGCTGGGGGCAGGGGCCTCACCCCAGGCCAAGTGCCAGCTGGAGGAGCCAGTGCAGAGGGGAAGGGGCTTCTCTCAGGATCCACACTGCCCCTGGGCTTCCCCTATACCATCAGCCCCTACTTCCACACAGGTGGGCACCCCCCATGGTCTTCCCCTCACCTCGTGGAAAGGCCCTAGTGGGAGCGACCAGCAGAGAGAAATTCCTATTTAGTCAGGGATCCAGCATCCATTAGGGTAGGCAAGGGTCAGCAACTGGGTGGGGGTGTAGGAGAGTGGCCAGAGTTCACCTAACCCTTTGGTCTAGGTGCTGTGGGGGGACTCTTTATGGATGGGGAGGAAGCCACAGCCCCTGAGGATGTCAGCAAGTGGACCGTGGATGATGTCTGCAGCTTTGTGGGGGGCCTGTCTGGCTGTGCGGAGTATACTCGGGTGAGTACTACACATCACTCTTCCACCCTCCCTGGAAAGGACCATGGGCCATCTTCCACTCCAAGTTTCCCCTCCCCAAAAGCAGTATGTTGGGGACAATGGCCTATGCTCCTCCTACCATGTTGCAGGGTTGCCTAGCCTGATGGTGCTCACAAAGGGTTTTCTTTTCATTTGAGCATTTTTCCTGCAAGTTGCACTCAATTTTTCTTGGCTCTGCTCAGGGTCTTTGCTGGGCTAGGGGGACCCAGGTAGGAAAGCAAGCCTTTCCCTGAACCGCCCCCAGGTCTTCAGAGAACAAGGTATAGATGGGGAGACCCTGCCATTGCTGACTGAGGAGCACCTGCTCACCACAATGGGGCTGAAGCTGGGGCCAGCCCTCAAGATCCGGACTCAGGTGAGCTTGCTGGAGAGCCACCTCAGGGACTCCAGATAAAGCTGAGAGGATGGGGCGGGGGAGGAATAAAAGCTCTCCATGACTGCTGGCCAGCACTGCTAGAAAGCCCACCAGGCCCATCTCTCTGCAGGTGGCTAGGCGCCTAGGCCGAGTCTTCTACATGGCAAGCTTCCCGGTGGCATTGCCACTGCAGCCACCAACCCTACGAGCCCCAGAGCAGGAGCTCAGCACAGGAGAACGGCACCCATCCCCAGCAACAGTCCCCTCCCCCTATGCAGGGGCTCACCACCCAGCAAGCCGAGCTTCACCCAAGCAGGAAAATGGGACCTTGGCTCTGCTCCCAGGACCCCCAGACTCCTCCCAGCCCCTGTGTTAAGTTGCTGGTGAGCTCCCCGGCGACTGCTTGGATGGCATAATCCCTCCCCCTACAGTTAATTTCTTTTTTTGGTTTCGGATGCAAAAACACAAAGAATTTTTTAAAAGAAAATGTGACTTTAGAGAAAGGATGGTGTTTCCAAAGACATTCTGGGGGTGACTGCAGAACCCAATGCTGGCAAGCTGTGGACCAAAGACAAAGAGGAAGACTGGGCCATCATCACACCTCTCCTGCCTGGAACCGCTGGTCCCCATGAATCCCAGCATCAGGGCCAGCTTCCTGCATGGGCTGACTTATCCTTACTGCCTCCCAAGCACAGCTCTCAGCATATCTGGTCTTTTTGCTGTAAAAATAAAGCCTGTCCACCCTCTCCTGCCCCACTTCCGCATTGACGCTATCAGTGCTGGCCTCTGAGCTGACTGCCAGAGCTGGTTACCAGACCCTGTAGGCCTTCAGGGCACCTCAGTCCTCCTCGGAGAGCTCCAGATCCTCCAGTCTGTCCTCTGGCCCCTGGGCCAGTCGCCATAGCTCCCGGGGGTGAAGATGTGCCTCGGTGTCTGGGCCTTCATCTGCAAGGAGGGGAGCCAGGCTGGGCTCATTCCACTTTACCAAGAACCCAGCCTTGGAGATTACTCATCATTAATTAATCATGGCACTAATTAATCTGTGTCGCTGCTGCTGGCTGCCAGAGCAGCTGGCCTGACACCCCCATAGGGGGTAGGGCTCCCTGTACTTGCCCACTCACCACCTTCCTTGATAGCTTTTCACTCCCAGCTAGATAGACTCATAGAGCCACAGCCTCTATGAGCAGGACCACTCACCCTCTAAGTTGCTGCTGTTATCTTCGTCCTCTGCTTCCTCCACTTCCCGCTGAACACTCAGGGACCCTGGTACTCCTGAGGACCAAAGAGCAGAGCTTGTATGCATGACCACCCGCCTAAGGCCACTGGGGGAGCTAAGGCAGGAGGGTGGCCACGGGTGCAGCCCCACCCCATGCCTACCAGGATGACAGAGTTTGGTAAAAACAAATTAGCCTCCACCCACTTCCTGCAGATGGAGGATCCCTGGATAATAGTTCAGGGACACAGGACTGGGGGAACAAAGGTCACCCAAAGATGGAAAGAGCTAGTAGTGAGCCCAGAAAACACTGAGGTCTGCCCCACCTAGGCCAGACACAGGCACCCCTTTGGCTCTAGGTATCCAGGGGAACCATTTATACCCCACACCCCTTTTCTTCCCATGGCCCAGTGCAGACCCCACCTTTCTCTGAGAAACCCAAGGCAGCAGCACCCTCAGCACTGTCCTCCTCAGAACTATCCAGGTCAAAGAGGTCTTTAAATTCTTTCCTGTCTTCATCCTTCCTATCGGCCACCTTCCTCCGTTTGATCTCTGGGAAGTTCAGGTCTTCCAGCTAGAGGGATCGGGGTCCAGAACAGATGGGGTGAGCAGGAGCCCATAGCACCATTGGGCCAGGCCAGTCTCCCACCCCTAGCCCCCAGCTCAAGGACCCTGCTTGGCCACCTCTTGGCTGCTGCTCTGCTTCCAAGTCAGATAGACACATGAGGACAGGGACACAAACTCTCAGCACAAAGCTGCCCCACATCCAGGGGCAGATGCAAAGCCCCACAGTCTGGCCCCAAAGCCCCCAGCCTATTGGGCCTGAGGAGGGGAAGAGAAGCCACAGCTTTGGCTAGTTCTTCAACATCTGCTCCTCCACCTCTCTGAGCTGGATCACCAGTCACTGCCCTGTCAGGGAGCCCAATACTGCTGCTGGGGACACCCTCAGGGTATGGATGTCATCCCGCTGCCCAAACTTGTACCTAAGTCTTAAAATCAGGGCTAACATGAGATTCAAATCTAGCATTCAGTCCCCGCCATACCTGTTCTTTGCCACTGATCTCCAGCTGGATCTCCCGGTCCCTCAGCTTCCGCCAGTGGCTGTAGTACCTGGTGAGCGGCGTCCCTTCTTCCTGGGTCTGCTTCTCCCAGATATCCTGGGAGGAATTGGAGTTGAGGGCCACACCCCACCCTGGGCAAACTTTTAAACCCGAGCCATGCCTCAGGTGGCACCACCCCTAGGGCCAACTGACCACTGCCTGCTGGTCAGTCACACTGAAGGAGACTCTCTGGCGGCGGCAGCGGACATGCTCCATGTTTTCCTGAACCTTCCCTAGCAGCTGCTGCACTGGCCGGCAGTAGTTGGCCACCTTGCACTCCCGGATGAAAGACTTCAGCTGCAGGGCAATGGGGGGTAAGGCACCACAATTGGCCCAGGGCCGGGAAGAACCACCCATGACACCACAGGGGATACCCGGGTAGGACAGGGTTGCACCTTAGCCTGCTTATACACCCCTAGGAGGCAGAATCACCCCACCCACAAGTCAAAGCCCTCTACTGCGGGTCTCATGAATAAAGTTGCAGGGGCACGTGGCCACCTGGCTCATTCTGTACACCAACAGCTGTGATACACCCACACGGCTCACATAGCCTAGAACATTTCTGGTTTGGCTCTTCACTGAAGACATCTCCAATCCTACCCTAGATCCTGTCCCTGGGACCTTGAGCCCAGAAGCAGATGACTCAACTGGCAGGTGCCACTAGCAAGATGATCCAGCAGGACAGCAGCTGCTAACCCAACCACAAGCCTGTGGCCACACATGAGCTCAAGCGCGCGCACACACACACACAACTCTGGAATAGCTGCAGCTTGGGTGTGTAGCATCCCAACCAACCAGGCCCAGGAGAGCTGCAGGGCGCCCTCAGGTGGGAAACATCTATGCATAGAGTAGACAGGGCTTCCAAAAAGAGGGAGGTCCACCCACCCAACCCCACCTAAAGTGAGGGTGACTGGGGTGTAGAAGGGAGGGGTGGCAGCTCTGGGAGGGCCCACCAACCCCTTACCTACACCCAGGTCAAACCAAGGAAGCCTGTGGTCAGGAGAGCAGCTGAGGAGGGTCTGCTCACTGAGGGGGTGCCTTGGTGAGCCACCCAGACCTCCTACTTCGAACCTGAGTGGCCAAGAATCTCTCATCCAGAGCCAACTCCACAGCCCCCAAGGACACCCCTCAGAGTCCCTCTCACTGTGGCCCCAGGTATCCAGCTACCAAACAGTGCCAGTGTGGGGGTCCTCAGCTGATCAGGCTCTGCCCTGGCCCCTGTGCCCATGAGCCACTGAGCCCAACCCAGCACAGGCCCCAGAGGTCAGTAGGCACATACCTGCAGCACCACAGGGAGCGCCAGCTCAGGGAAAGAGATACAGTGGGCCTGGCCTTGCAGGTACTCCAGAGTAAGGTCACAGAGCTGTTCCACCAAGCCATCCTAAGGCAGCCAGGGGGCCGAATTTGTCAGAGGGACTGGCACTCAGGCCTTTTCCCCTCCAGCTGATGGGTCAGCTTGATCTTCAGAGCAGGGACTAGGTGGAAGGGGCACCTAGCCTCCCAGGAAGCCACCCTCAGGCTCAACGGGCAGAGACTAAGGGTCCCACCTAAGGGACCCACAAAGGTCTGTACTTGAATTCTGGGGGCAAACAGGCCTCTCAGCAATGTTAGTGCCCTCTGACATTCCAATGTGACCGCCCCACCCCCAGAAGGCTGGAAACCTCACCCGATAGGCTTTTTCCTGCAGATTGATGTTGGACAGCTTTAGGATCACAGAGAAGTTGATGGGCTTAGAGCTCATACGGCCCGGCCTCTTGTTGAAGTCGACCTGCTGGAAAACCTGACCCAAGGGTGCATTAGCCCAGCCTGCCTGCTCCTGGGCCTCAGGCTCCAGAAAGACGAACTTACAACTAGAAATGGGCAGCCAGGTGTGGAGCTAGTTCTGAGTCCCCCAGGTCTCTTCAATTGCCCCTTTGTCTCCAAACAGCAGCCAGGCTGCTGCAAGGGCAGGACCAGACCAGTGGCCATCCAGGGAGAGCAGAGATGGGGCCTAGCCTGGCCTCTAAGCCTAGTGAACAACCCCAGAAGGAGACTCCTCTCACAGAGGCCCTTAGGCAGGTGACCCAAGGGGGATGAGGGCTGAGGGGGCCCCATGGGACAGCTGTGATTCATCACAGAGCAGCTTCCTCCCACTCATGTATCCCTGGAGGGCAGGTACAGCTTCCCTTCAGCCTCTGGGATCTGCTTTCTCTGGAGAAAAGAGGCCTGAGCTTGAGTGTGAAGGACCCACAGGGGTAGTTGTAGCAAGCCAGAGCAACAGTCAATAGAGGGCCATCCAAAAGTAGAGAGAGAAAGAGGCACGGTGCCTGTGGCTCAAGTGGCTAAGGTGCCAGCCACATACACCTAAGGTGGCAGGTTTAAATCCAGCCCGGGCCCACCAAACAACAATGGCTGCAACTGAAAAAAAATAGCCAGGCGCTGTGGCAGGCACCTGTGGTCCCAGCAACTTGGGAGGCGGAGGCAGGAGACTCGCTTGAGCCCAGGAGTTGGAAGTTGCTGTGAGCTATGCCATGGCACTCTACCCAAGGGGAAAGCTTGAGGCTCTGTCTCACAAAAAAAAAAAAAAAAAGTGGAGAGAGAAAAAGACACCACAGGACAACACAGCATTTGGAGAATGCTAGCAGAAAATAGATACACAGCGGGCCCAAGGCAAGCCAGCAGGGCAGGCGGCCCAACGTGGGGATACCAAAACACAGGGCCAAGGACAGTGATCAGAGACTACTGCCGGCTGCCACAGGAGCCAGTGTGGTGTTCAAAGGACATTCGCAGAGCACAAAATCATAGAACTCCTGCCTCCACAGAATGGGACTTGAACACACCTAGGTTCCTGTCCCTCCCTGGCTAGCAACCTGGGGGCTGTGGCAGCAGCAGCCCCAGCCCTAAGCACAGCTATGACTGGCTCTGGGCCTGCAACAAGGATGAAGACTCTGGAAGACCAAGATGGTGAATTCCTAAATACACAGTGAGTGGGGAATAACGCACCCAACTGGGTTTCTGGGCTTTGGACTCCAGCCTCTGACTACATGAGTGGCAAGAACACATACATATGCACTCAACTGCCCA